TCCTGCAGAGCCATGACGGCGGAGCTCTGGAAGCGCAGGTCGGTCTTAAAGTCCTGAGCGATCTCCCGGACCAGACGCTGGAAGGGCAGCTTGCGGATGAGCAGCTCAGTGGACTTCTGGTAACGGCGGATCTCTCGGAGAGCCACGGTACCGGGCCTGTAACGGTGGGGCTTCTTCACTCCACCGGTAGCCGGGGCGCTCTTACGGGCAGCTTTGGTAGCCAGCTGCTTCCTGGGAGCCTTTCCTCCGGTGGATTTACGGGCGGTCTGCTTGGTTCTGGCCATCGCTTCTTTGCTATTACTATCAAGCTAAAGAAATACATGACCGTGGGGACGTGGGCTTTATAAAGGGAACAGCGGCTCAAAGTAAGCTCTGATTGGCTCACATTTTGATGGGTGGGAACATGTTTCCATCTCAGCTATTGGTTGGATTTTGAATTTTAAATAAAGGCGCAAAAGAAATCTTTTGGCGGCCGGAACATGTGTGTGGGGGCGGTGAGGTACTTCAAATGAGTAATAAGATTTTAAAAAGTACCTAGTTAAATGAAAAATAAAAAACATTCACAGTACTTTGTTCTTTGTATTCAAATTCAGGGCATGTAGCTACTGTGTAAAGCAGGTACATGTATCCTAATGGCAAATATAAGTAAACATAAATTACATTAATTCACTGAAATGATGTTTGATCACAGTGTTTGAAAATCAAATCTGCTTTTTTATTAGGTTGATATAAAAACACGTACTCAAAATGTTTTTTTTGATTGGATCTGTAATTCAACAATCAATTGATAATCAGCAAATGTTACCTCACAAGTGAAAACAAACCTTTAGAAAAAAATAACTAAAATAGAACAGACTGTACAGACTTTCAAGGTCATTTGGAGAAATGCAATGTGCAGTTTAATTAAAATAGAGAAAAGGCAAAAAATTAAAAACAGTGAAGTAAGAAAAGCATTGTGTTGAAAATACCGGATCAGTTCCTCTGAAGCCAGGCGAGGTGTTCTATGGGATCAGGGTTTCCAGCCCGGGTTAGATCACAAAGATATTCAAACAATACGGAGCTCTACTGCAAGTCATGTATTTCCAACTAGTTTTTATGTTTAGAGGCAAGTCAGTTGCACATTTAAAAGCTTTACTTCATCTGTATTGGTATTTTCCAGTGTTTTTAACCAACTTTTTCAGCACATAGGACGAAACATTGATAGGTTGTCGCCTCCACAGACAATTGTTGAACAAGTCTCCAAATTTTCCACCTATTGAATGATCCACAACAAAGACACTTACTCAAGCACAGCATAAATTCTAAATATAATAAATTTCCATTCGTGCAGCAGTCAATGACAGTGGGAGGAGATAATGGGTAAACATTTGATTGGTGCTTAACGGTAAATTTTTGTTTCTGCTCAATTTTGAATTCCAGCAGAAAAACTGGAACAGCCCCTTCTAAAGCATTTCCCAACGTTACAAGTATTTCAGGATCAGCTCTTAGAGATGTGGGTGGCTCTTAAAAGAGCCGTTGTTTTTCCAGATCAGTCAATAGATTTAACCTCCAAAGCCGTAGAGAGTGCGGCCCTGCCTCTTGAGAGCATAGACCACATCCATGGCGGTCACA